TTATATATATATATATAAGGGATTATATCGGGGACTACTATAGGGGTTATTAGGCTGATACTAGGAGTTTAGACTATGGTTCATATGGTGAATCCAGTGTGTTGCAGAACTGAGAGTTCTCTGCTTGGACACCTTGGCTATCCTGCCCGTGCCTGCCTAGGATGACGAATGCAGCACGGAAGGCGGCAAATTGTCAAGCTTGCCTGGGTTGCTGTTCAGAAACTTAATTCAAGTTTCCATAGTATTTGAATACAGTCAATAACAATAAGGTTTCCTTATTATAGCTTCTTTAGAAAAGTTCCTTAACAGCAGCCCAGTTGTTGGATGTCATGTTTGACCTCTCAGAATCAGAATCCAAATAGCCCATGTAAGCCCCAGTTTCCATCTCATTCTCCATTTCATTTTCCGTTTGATTCTCCATTATTGGGGTCATATCCCTAAAGCCTTAACCCTAGACCTTAAACTACGGTGCGCAAGCGCACTCGAGAGGCCAGTGCGCAGACAGGCGAATGAATGCCTTTTGTTGGCCCTGTGCATTTCATGCCGACGTGAAAGTCTCCAGGGTTTAAAAAAAAAAAAAAGACCATAAACTACACAGCAGTTTCCACTTCCCCATACATTACCTCTACATACCCCCCAAAAGCTCGGGCTGAAGACTGCTAGGCGACAAAACCCTGTGGCATCGGCACCCCCAAAAAAGGACCCCTAATTTGGGGAAACTATAAGCCCTAATCCCTACACCCTATATAACCCCCATATAACCCTTATATAACCCTATATAACCCCTAATTTTGGGAAACCCCCCCCAAATTTCATCCAAGAGCTGGTCAGGCTGCGCTCTCAGTGCTTTGCAGCGGTCAGGCCGAAAACTCTCCGAGGAGGCTCAGGGTTGAATTGAGTAGGGTTTAGGGTTTAGGGTTTAGTTGGGGATACTATGGTACCCAATAATGGAGAATCAAATGGAAAAGAAAATGGAAAATGAAATGGAAGCTGGGATTATATAGGGCTTATACTATATTATAGATCTTCAATTTTTAGTTGGGGATACTATGGTACCCAATATAGAGTAAGATTATATCCTCCTTTTGGGGTATAGTATTTTATATAAAGAAGATAATCGTATTAGGTTCAACCACTAAAAAAACGCTACTCAATTGTTGAGGGCTGAAGGGTGACTTTGCAATCCAGGTACTTTTGATGGTTTCTGAGGTACGGTCACTCGGAGGCCATGACAAAACTGCTTCTCCTGCTGCTGCTTTGGATTGTGATTGAGCACTTCTGAGGTAGGTCCAATGGGGCCCCGAGGCGTGGTGGAACTTGGGAGGACTTTGGTGGCCATGCGAGCCCTGGGGCACAAGCTGGCTTTCATCTTGCACAAGTGTCCTCCTATTGTCTTGGAGATTCTGGGTGGCTCGTCCGGTACGATCTTCGCAAAGCCCTCTTTGGAAGCCCCAGATGCCCCAAGACAAAGCATTGCCCTTGGAACCAGATGATATCAAAGCCAAAGATTCGATTCGATTCTAAGAACAGGGAAGTTGAAGGATTCAAAAACAAAATGCTTCAGAGCCTTTCGTCGAAACCCCAATGATGTCCATCATAGCCTACGCGAGATATTCACAGACTCCAACCAAACAAAACTGCAGAGAACATTTAGATGACTTTGAAACTGTTTGCCCAACATCCTCAAGACCCGCCGGTACCCCCCCCTGCACCCTGGATCCCTGTAGTAGTCCTAACATGATCCTCTATAATCATCTTTGGAACCCGTCCCCGAAGCCGCACTAAGCATGGACAAGGTGAGGATTTGTTTACTTGGTTATGCTATAGTCCCAATACAAAGTAAGCTTATATCCTCCTTGTGCGTGCGGTACTTGTGTAAGAGGATAACCTTCTTACTTGGCTCAACCGCCAAGACAGCTTACTCACATAGCTCAACAAATTCCTATGCAATCCCAATCTCATTGTTCATTGTCGTTTCCAAATTTGATTCTGGAGTTCAGCCCTATACAATCCCAATCTGCAGCAGTGTCCTTTTCATGTTCCATGTTCTTCTCCATTTATGATCCTTCATTATGTCATTTTTTGGTGCAACTACTAAAGGTGATCCCTCATATGATGCAGAAGGAATCTACCCCCCCAGGCGAAACAGAACTCTTCGTTCGAGGCGAAACAGAACTCTTCGTGGGGAGGCTGGGCTTTCCAGAATTTAGGTCTTACGGGCACCTTGAAAGGCAATATTGTGGGGCTATATGAGCCATAGTCTAAACTCCTTAAAAAGGGATTATATAGGGGATTTGATAGGGAACTACTATAGGGGTTATTAAGGGGGATGCTAGGAGTTTAGACTATAACGCATATGATTTGCTGTCTATGTTAGGCTTACTAAAGGACCCGTATTTGTAGACATAGGGGTCCCATTGGCACTTGGGCATAGTCCTGTATGTAGGAACCCATGTCCATTCATTGCATGGGAAATATTGACTACAGCTCATATAGGGTTACATAGGGTTGTTTTACGGGGTTCAGGGCCTAGAGCTTAGAGTCTTGGAGCTGTGGCTTCCATTGGCTGGTTGATTTGGAACATTATTGAACATTACCTGTACTCTTGAAATTCGAGAGTGCTACGCGGTGCATCCCTCATTCTAAGTGTGGTGATGGCTCGATGGTTCGTCATGATGGTGATGATGTCGATGAGGTGGTCAGTCAGAACTGCTTGATGACATCAAATTGCCTTAGCTGTTTCTGTTATCCCCGGGGATTACGATTCTTGGGATGCGAATCCAGGTTGAACGGTGTTTTGGTCTAGGGTTTGGGCATGATTCCCCGTAAGCAATGGGAATCTAGGGTTTATATTTTTCGGGTTAGCCTCCCAGCTTCAGGCTTGTATTTGGATTGGCATTAAGGAAATCAACATTGGGGTGAGCATTAGGTTTCTCCAGTCTGGTGGCTGATTTCACAGGCAGCACTCTTAAGGCCAATCACATTGACATTCATGAGTCCTGGGTGATTCGTCTGCTGTATGAGAAGTTCTCTTGCCAAAGGCCCTTGAACGGAAGCAGCATGGTAATTACTTCGACACAGACACTCAGGAAGGCCGTTTTGGCTTAGCCTAATCACGACCTGTGAATCATACAAACCTAATGCTTGAAACTGCTGACCCAAACTGAAACTCCAAGATCCTTTAGCGGAAGAGGCTGAGGTGGATCCAACAACTCCGTAAAAGCTTAGCGTGTTGATTCTTGTCTCGGGATATAGCATGTCGTGCGGGTGACCTGACCAACAGATTCCGGGTACTGGGGCGGTTGCAGGGCAAACTTGAGACACAGCACTGAAAACTAGTTTCCATTTCATCTTCCATATACTTTCCATTTGATCATCCATTATTTCATTTTCACTACTGGAGTAACATGTCTCTATATCGCCCCTACATCCTACGTGAACTTGCTCAGGCAAGTGCCAAGACTATGGCTGCACGCAGGGGCCCTGATCCAGAACTGCGTTCGTAGGATGATTGTCTTGATGCTCACGACGTTAGGCACTAGGTTACACAGATCCCAACCCTGTTTGTCTTGGATCGGTTCATTGGCTTCCGTGCAGATCCTTGTCATGAAGTCTACATACCATTGTCGGCGCCAAGGCATCACTACCACTACTGGATGACCTGCCAGTGCAACTCCGCATGTACGCAGTACGGAAACTGCTGCAGCGCCCTCAGCTATTACGCGGCTCAGCCCCTAACACCAAAGAAAGATGATACCTATACTGTAGCAAAAGGATTGGTTTTTGAATCCGGTCGAGCAGTAAATTTTCTTGGCATGCTATGTCTCAACCAACTTCAGAGACTCCCAATCACGGTCCCCTGCATGGCTGCATCGAACCAACTTGCACACATTCGCACATTTGGGCACACTGCTGTCCACGCAGGCCCTGACTATTCTTCGAAATGTGTGTGCAGCTCAGTTCGGTTTGCCACGTGAGGCGGGACATTAGCCTAGGATGGATTCTTGAGGGGCTGCAATCGTGATGTAAGTCAGGATTGAAACAATGTAGAAGTAGAATGGAAGTATTGGTCGGGAAGCTGGAGCAGATGCATGCCCAGTGATGTTACAAAAGGATGCTATTCAAATCTAGATGCCGGAGCAGCCCTGCAGTTTCAACTAGAGTCTATAGCATACAATATATATGTGTATATATATATAGATAATACAATATATATATACACTATGTATAAGATAAATAAATTATATATCATAAATATATATATATATAGATATTTGTGTTATATATATTATATAATAGCCTTTGCGACATTTCTTCTTGCTGAAGCTACAGCCAGTGTTGCCTGCGAGTTGCCAAGCGCTGGAATCACTGAGGCCAAGAAGCCTGAACAAGGCCTGGAGTTTACCAGGGGTTGCTCAAGTCCAGAAGTGTTAAGACCGCAGTTCATGCATGCCTTCAACAAAGACTTGCAAATGGAGATCTGCCGTGAGGATGAGATTTGCGCAGATGCTTGGGCTGTGGTAACTAAAAACTCATACAAGAGGATGTGATTGTTGGCCTGGCTGCCTGGCTCAAGACAAACCCATCTGATACTGAACCTGGCCCGCGTCCCCTCGGGCCCACTTTACATATCTCGTTTGAGACTTGGCTGTCCCTTAGCAGTTGCTAAGTTTCGGGAAATGGTACATTACATTCCTGGGTGGAATCACAAGCGCGCACACTTCGTTTGCCCAATACTGTGGCTCCCAACTCGGCCTGAACAAGCGTCAACTCACAGCCCTCATCGTCCAGAAGGTTAGACCCGGAAGCCCGGCAGACCCTGGAACACTCCCAGACGTAGACTTCAAGCTTAGATTCCCAATGCCAGAAAACCTTACCGAGCGCCCGAAGGCCAACACTTCCTGTAGACTCCTAGGCCCCCCAAATTGGCCGAAGCAAAGGCTCGCAAACGGATTCCGAAATGCAGGGCGAGGAGCTTCAGAGTGCATTACAAGGGCTGCATGGCTTTGGACGGAAGGGTCTCGCAAGCTGGGATGCTTACAAATTGGGTGTTTGCATATCAGAAGAGGGAAGGCTGGGGTCTCCAACTCAAGCGCGCAGAACACTAATGAAGGGTTGGGGGTGAGAGACCCCGTTGACATCCCCCAGATCTAACCCCCCAACATTGAATTCTGCGGCCCTAGTTTCCGATTGTGAGGAGGGCCCAGAACCACCAGCTGCTGGCGCAGCAGAGGCCATCCTGGCATCGGGTGCTTCAACCTATGGCGCCTGCGAGGCCTATCACAAGGGATTTGGGGTTCTCAGGAGTTTCTGATGGGCTTGGAATCGGATGCACACGGGCGGCTCCTGGTACCCATGGTTGGTTCGCACCCTAAAAAAGAGGGGGATGAAAGATGGACAAGCCAGCGAGTGCTGCTTCAACGTGCGCGAAATCCTAAAACCAAAGCACCAGAGCCTTGTCCCAAACCACCATAGTGGCCGTGTCCTCTTCCCAGAGCTCCTCCTTTAAATGCCTTCAGGATGAAGAGTCTGGGCCAAAGGTGCGGCGTGGAGCCCCTCGCTCCAGAGGGATCCCAGGCCTGTCCCGAAGGGGTTTGAGTGTTGCGAAGACTTTGGCGTGAATGCTTGCCACGAGACTCCGTCAACGCAGGACCTTAAGAAAGCACTCAGCGCTATCCCCTAAACTCCCCTAGACCCAGTAGTTTTCATTTTTCCATTATCTCTACATAACCCCCATAATAGTCCCCTTACGCGGCCTCCGCTTGCACGGTTTACGACTGCCAGGCCTGGAAGACGTCGGAGGCTTCTGCGGCGGGCTGGCTCAGGATTACAAGCGCAGCTTGGCTGTGCTATGGCATTTTATTTTGGTTATATAGAGGCTATATAGGGGTTATATTGGACTAATGGAGAAGAAAATAGAAACTACCATAATGAGGCTACAGGTTAGGATGGGGGTGGGAATTCATACACGAGCAAATGCCTCAGCTGTGGTCCTTTACCAGCTTCCGGTTATGTTTCAGGTCATAGCCGTAATGCGTGGAATGTCAAGTTGATAAGTCCGTGGACGCACGGTGTGTTTTCATATTATGTATGCTTTCCTGAGCTTCATGCCGACGAATTTTGCTACCCAGGTACTGTTACAATTGTTGGCCAATCACAGGCCATGAGTCCAATCCTGCTTTCCACAGCTAGCTTGTAGTTTCTGCAGCTATCATCTTTGCCTGACAGGGCTTCATAGCAGAATCAATACAGTTATGGGGCCCCGAGCTAGCAAGGATATGGAAAACGGCTGGAGAACGTCAACCGAGTGTCAGCTCAGGAAGGGCCAAGTTCTTTGTCTCTGACTGGATTACCGACGCCTTCACAGCAAAAACTCTCTCCGCCGCCCTTTTCATGTTCTTTGCAACCTTCACCTCCACTTTAGCTCTTGGAGAGCACATCAAGGAGTCCACAAATGGATTGATTGGTTTGAATGAATACCTGATGATGAACAGCTTGGCTGGCATGGCACACGCCATCTTCGGGTGTCAGCCGCTTCTCGTACTTCGGCCCACAGGACCTATCACCTTGCTCTTCGAGAAGCTGCTGGATTTTGCCAACCAGCACTCCCTGCCATTCTGGCCACTGGGCACGATCCTCCCTAAACCTTTTCTTTTTGAGACCGCGAAGAAATCAAAGACTCCATTCTTTTTTGCAGCTATAGGTTGCAGAATTCTCGCAATTTGAGTATATCAAAGGCCCTTCTTTGCATGGACTGGCATCTTCGTTGGCCTGCTCATGTTCTTGATCTCGGCCTTGGAGCTATGCCGGCACCTCGTGAAAATTACTGTGTCCTTTAACCCATTTCAACAAGTTATATGTCACTGTTCCCCAGATTTTGTCGTTTGTTGGGTCCGGGATTGCAATTCAAACTAAGCTCAACGTGCTTAACCAGGGGCACAGACAGCAAGGTATGTCAAGCACCTCTCGCTGTTCACGGAGAACATCTTTGCCACTTTCATTGGCATGGTGGGAGCCGCCAAAAATTTGGGACCCCTGATGTGATCTGAGTTCATGCTGTTTCACGATTACGAAAGCAGCCAAAGCTGGTGAAATATTGTGCTGTGCCGTACGAAGGCAGCCCAGAATGAGCTTTCCCACTAAGACAATCCACGGTTTCCTCGGCCCCGTGGGCCCTTGCACCACTCTCTCTGCTCATGACCAGAATGCAGGTCTACATCAATGATGGCGTTCAAGGCATGATTCGGCTGTGGGGGGAGGGCGCCGACCCCTATGGGAGCTCTGCAGCAGCTTCAAAGCTTCTGACGCTGAACCTGGGCCGGTGTGATGACAACCTTTGGGCTAATGTCTAATGGTCTGGTTGAAATTTGCACATGCCTACCATAGTGGGAGGAAGTTGAGTAGCAGCATTTCATCCCGAGGGTCTGGGAAAGCTGTAGACCTGATGGTTTTGGGCTGGAAGTCTGCTCCATTGAGGAACATGACGATCGGGTTTACCGCCCTGACCTTGCGGCTCGGCAAGTGAGCTAGGACTTTGCCTGCTTGGCTTGGATGTCGTCCTACGTACTTTTGATCGAGGCCATCTTGCACTACCTTCTATATGCTGTCTTACTATACACTGGAATCTATAGTAGAGATCTTGAGCAGACTCAAGTAGTGCGAGATTTCCTCCATCGACCGCAGAACTTTGCTGTTTTGGCTTGGATATGGTGCTGGCATACGCGTCTGCAATCCTTCGAATGTTTGCTTCTGATTTGTCGGCACGGGAGTGTTTCTCAGGGCCCATGGAAAGCAACACTAAGGTGGCTGAGCACGCTGCAGTCCTCCAAGCTCCTGACCTTCAAGGGAAGGATGTTTCTGAAAGACTACGCCCTCACCATCAGCCTCTTCGTGTCCATTGTGGCGGCCCATTATTTGAACCAAGGCCTCTTCCCAGTGACTTTCATTGACACGAAAACCAGCGGCTTTAACACCACCAGCGATCGGCCCTGGAATACGGACCTCACTGCCATCTCCGGCAGAGGTGTGCTTTGCGCCGCCCTGGCAGCATTCCCGGTCGTGGTCTTCTTCTACTTAGACCAGAACATCTCGAGTAGCCTGTGCCAGAAGCCAGAGATGAAATTGAGCAAGGGCAGCTATTTCCACTCCTCCTTCGCCTGCATGGCCTTCTTCAACACGCTGGGACCTCTCTTCGGACTGCCTTTCGTCACAGGATCCCTGCCCCACTCGCCCCAATTCGTCCTCTCACTAGCTGAGACTGACGAGGAGCATCGCATCACCAAGGTGCGGGAGAACCGCTTGGCACCCTTGCTGTGCTACTTTCTGATTGGCCTCCCATTGCTGGCGCCTTCGCTGCTTGAGCGTGTTCCAAAAGCCGCTGTCTTTGGCACCCTGATCTTCGTAGGCATTGACGGCATTCAGAGCACACAGCTCTATGAACGAGTTCTTCTCATTGCAACAGACCCACGTTTCTTCCCTAAGACCGGGCCCTTTGCAAACTTGCCAGCATCCACAATGCATCTGTACACGTTGATCCAGCTGGTCTTGGTCGTGGGCTGCTGGATGGTCAATGCTGACTTCGGACTCTACTTTCCACTGTTCTTTATCAGCCTCATACCGGTCAGGTGGTGACTTGGTGCCAGTTCAGAGATGGGCTAGCCTTAACTCTGCAACCTTGGAAGTACGCACCCCGAAGAGATTGCTAATATTCATTCCGATTCAGATGCTAATTGTTGCTTTCATAGGGACGGGCGGTGCTGGGTGGTTGCTTGGGGAAGCCCAGGTTTCTCGTTCCGTGCTTCTTCACCCAAAAGGCTTTGGATGATCTCGATCATGGCTTAGACGTCAAGCAGGAAGATGCCAAAGGTCGCCCGGGCTTCGTGCGCAGTAGTTCGATCTACAAGGACATGTCACCCTGAGGCTGCAAACCGGCTAAGAAGCGGAGAATTCCCATCAGGCTGACAAGGAGAGTTCCTACAAGACTGATGCATCCTACTTTCAATCAGGTCTCAGCAGGGGAAGGATGCCCGCTGAATAATTACAGGTGTATCAGGCTGTCTGGAGCAGCGTGCTGCGGAGCGAAAACGGACAGCTATTCACACCGAGAATGCAAACTCCCTTGCGCTGCAACAGTAGGTGCGCTCTTCCTGGCATTTCCTTCGAATGTGCAGGTACATGCGCCAGTTACGGGTGTACGCAGCTTGGCGGCATTTGATGCAGAAGTGTAATCAACGCGCAACCTGTCAACCTGAAAGCAAAGCCTAGTCCTCTGTTCCATCGCATGAGTTCTGTACGGCAGCAGCATCAGCTGTTTCAATGCGCACACAAGAGCCATGAACATTCTACTCAGCAGAATCCAGTGTGACAACACCTTCAGTAGTGTTGTCCTTTCCTTGTTCCTTCCTTCTCGGGTCGGTCACAGCGTGTTTTCTCTAACTTGGGGTAACGATCCGGAAGCACTTGTGTGAGACATCCGTATTTGCAGACGCCCGATAGCAGCTTGTATTGATGCGCTACTGTGGATGGAGGACATCTTCCCCACTCACAGGGACTGGCAGCCCTACGTGGGATAGAATTTACTCCTGTCACCCATGAAGACTCTCAGGAATGACTATCGCCCGCACTCGAGCTGCCAGTGCAACGAACGATGCTCCAAGTATGGCAACTGCTGCCTGGTGCCCAGCGCCAATTGCCGAGCGCTGATTCTTAGAAAGAAGGGAGAACAGGACAAGGAGTTCTTGCCGCCCCTAAAATGCCACAGGTGCGAGGACAGGATTAATATCCTGTTCTAATCTTTCTACCAGCGGCTGTTGTGCTACTTTTTCATCTATGCAGGGTTGTGCAGAGATTTGGTTGATTTTGTGGTCGTGCCCTTGACTTGGTAGATTGCAGTGCGTGCTTCAGTTTGGGGGGGGGGGGGNNGGTTCTTGCAAGAAAGCAGAGGCGCAGACTATGCGGCCACCTGCGCCGTTTTGACCTCAGTTGTGAAAAGCACCTCTGTTCCCTTGAGAATGGAGTACCATGTCGTCAACACAGCATGCTATGGTGGACAGCTATGGAAATGCTCATACTATTGCATGGGAATGTGACTCAATCTCTTCTCTTCCTGGCCTCGATGCGTCCAGTCGAGCACAATGCGGCAGAAGACGACAGTTCCTTCTACTCATTATAAAAGGACCGTCAGAAAGCCCGCACGGGCTTTTGACAGTTGAGGTCAAGGATTTAGGGAGTTCACTATTTGCCTCCTTCTGAGCTTCGCAGCAAAGGCCCAGACCACAAGCACAGCACCTCCCGGTGGCAGTGCAACTTGTCTTCAAGGGTAAGCAGCAATAATACTATGTTGGGGCTATACGGGGATAATGAAACATGGAAACTACTTTTGTAGATCATGCGATCCCAACTCGGACTACTAGTAGTGTGTGACAAGGCTTGACGATGCGCTATTGGGAAGTACAAACCTATTTCGAATGCTCACAAGCATGTTTTGCACTGGGGGTGTATAGCTTGACCTGGCTCCTGCCACGGCGGGTCAGGCAGAGATAGTAAAACGAAAGCCCCCCCCCTCCCCTTGCAGAAAAAAAGCAAACTAAACCCTAAACCATACATGCAAGAGCAGAGATGTGGAGCATCCAGGCATGGATCTGGCAAAACCTTGTAAAACGATAGGACACCCC